AAATAAATACCCAGTGAAACATCTGAATGTTGTGCAGGACACATGACAGTTTTTTCTCGCACAGGACTGCTCCTGAATGAATTGCAGAACATCTAGCAAACCTGCCCCTGCCCATTAAATGCTGGTGGAGCCCCTCAGTCCTTGTCACAACGAACCCTCCCGCACATCTCCAAAACACCTCCTAGCCAGCAGTACTGCACACTGCGAGAATCAGATTTATAGAAAGGGTGCGCCACTATATACCTTGGAGTTTGTGAGAAAAAAAAAATGGAGTATTTAATGTAAAAGGCTCTGCATTGTGTCTGGCATATAACAAGTGCTGAATAAATGTAAATTTACTTCATCCCTCCTTCTTGCCACCTTCTGGCTGTAGATTTTTAGTCTGACCAACAGGGAACATCTGTCATCAACCCTGGCAAGCGTAAGGAAGGTACACTAAGTATTTCAGGGAGTGAAGTGAGGAAATTAGGCAACACTAAACACACATAGCACCCCACTCCAAGAAAAGCTGGCAGAATTAACATGACAGTTATACAGACTGTTGAACTGTATTAAATACTGTACAGCAACTTGATTCAAGAGACCTACACTTACTTTTCAGCATAACTTTGTTCCCTCCCTGCTGCGAGGTAAATTATTAAGACTTAGAGAACCCAGGGTCAAGCTGGAAAATTATTCTGGGTAAAAATGGGCTGTACAAGGGCAGGACCCTGCTGTCCCCACCCAACCCGCTCCCCATTGCTGGGCCGTGCCTGGCCTGGCTTCATGCAACAGCAGACAGGGATGAAGGTCTACGTTAAGACTCTCACACCAGACCCTTTGAAGAGGCTGGGACTTTTGTCCGGGATGCCTTCTCTCCCTCACTGTCTACCCTTTACTGACCTGGCCATCTCTACCTCAGTTTCCAAGTTTCAGGATGTATTACCTCCTCCGTAAGAGCTTTCTTGGATACCCCAGCAGGAGTGACTGTCACTCCCTCCTGTGTGTGTGCACAGCCCGTGTCCTTCCTTCTCCCACAGGATTGCCACTATTGTGTGCTTTTGCGCTTGGCTGACTCCCCACCTGCTCTGCAAGAACTGTGTCTGATTTGTCTTTAAGTCCCTGACAACGAGCTCAGGGCCGGGCACACAGTAGGTGCCCAAGAAAAGTTTACCTACCTCTCCCCGGCGTTGCGCCTTAGAATAAACACACCACAGAGTCATGTCATGAAGATTGTTCCCAGCACCATTATCCAGGCTATATATGGAGAATCTCATGTTTCAAAAGGGAATAGTCTGTGGTCCAAAGGACAGTTTATTTAAAACAGGTGACAAGGTATAAGGAGGAGGAAGGAGGGAGAACAATTCTAACATAAAAGCACATAGGAAGCATCTCAAACTTTAAAAAAAAATAGGAGGGGGGCAATGGAGGAAGCTATGTCTCATACATATACAAACTGCTGACCTCAATTGATTATTTACATCCAAATCTTACAAAATAGCATTTCCAGTCAGCACATAAGCCAGTGTTATTAGTTTTTGTTACAAAAAGTTAAAGCTACAAACTTCACATTTTTTAATTGTACATCAGCAACAGTATTTAAGCTTTTTTTTTTTCCAAGTTGGTCCGAGTGCAAGCTGGTGGAAGAGATTCTTTTTCCAAACACAAACAAGAACATGTGTTCCAAAGACAATGAAAATAATCCTGATGAAAACACAAACACAGTGCTTAAGAAAGGGTGGGGTGGGGTGGAGATGTGGATTGGGCAGGAACAATTTTCCAGTAAATGAGGAGCTGCAATCTTTAGAGGCAACATGGTATGCTAGAAAGGGCACTGGAGTAAGAATCAGAAGACCTGGACTTGAATCCTGGCCCTGCCATATTCTAGGCCACATGACCTTGAGCAACAGACTGTACCTCTCCAAGCCTCAGTTTCCTCATCTGTAAAGTGAGGACAATAATACCTGTATCTCCCAGAGCTACTAAGTTTCAACAGATAAAGGGCTATTCAGATTATCTCTTTTTTTTTTTTCCTTTTCTTTTGAGACAGAGTCTCACTGTGTTGCCTGGGCTAGAGTGCCGTGGCGTCAGCTTAGCTCACAGCAACTTCAAACTCCTGGGCTCAAGCAATCCTCCTGCCTCAGCCTCCCGAGTAGCTGAGACTACAGGCATGCGTCACCACGCCCGGCTAATTTTTTTTCTATATGTATATTTTAATTGTCCGGCTAATTTCTTTCTATTTTTAGTAGAGACAGAGGTCTCGCTCTTGCTCAGGCTGATCTCGAACTCCTGATCTCAAACGATCCACCCGCCTCGGCCTCCCAGAGTGCTAGGATTACAGGCGTGAGCCACCGCGCCCGGCCATCTCTTTCTTCTTGAGTGAGCTTTGGTACTTTGTATTTTTTAAGGAATTGTCCATTTATGTTGAAATTATAAGCATAAAGTTGTTCATAATATTGTTATTAGCCTTTTAATAGCCATAGGATCTACAGTGATATCACCTCTCTCACTCCTCATATTGAAAAGAGCTACAGAGTTTTAAATGGTATAATAAATTTCTGTTATCTGGTAGGTGCTCAATAAATGTTTCCTAAGGCAATCTGTTGTAGCCAGTAGTGGGGGGCGGGGAAGAAACAATGTTTCCTGAATCAAGATCTACAGTCTCAAGGAGTCAAGGCTACAGTTCTTCAGTTGCTTCACATGACTGGATTTTTTTAAAGACACAATTAGGACATCACTTCTTGGAAGCAGAGAACAACTGAGCGTCTCACAGTTTCCTGGAAGCTTGAGTGGCAAAGGCTCCGGCAATGCCTGAAGCTCAGGGCTCATTGAAAGCAAGTTGATCTATCTTGAATTCAGTATTCAAGAAAAAAATTACTAGGACTTGCTCCTTTGCCTTTTAGTCACTAGAAAACAAACACACCTTGTCAGGAAACTTCTCTGATCTAAACAAAGGGCTCTGTCTAGCTAGACTGGAAAGCAGCAGACTTTGTTGGACCAGTACATTAGGTGCACACATGCTTGAAACAAAATAAACTCTGGATCAAGGTTTATGGCCCAAGAATATTTATGGGGGAAACTGAACCTTCTTTTACTTGGATCTAGCTTAGGGAGGGAGAAAGTGGGCTTTCTCCTCCCTGTCTGGCCAAGTGCAAAGTTCTTTGTTTAAAAAAGAAAGAGATTGAGACAGAACTATTAATTAGTACAGCAAATGGCGTGGGGGTATGCATGCTTGATGATTTGGTTTTTAAAACTCTAACTTGGCTGTGAGATTTGACTATTAATTCAGCCATTTTCCAACCTAAAAATGCCCAGTTAATTAGTCCATGCAAGAAAAAGTGGTCACTTTATTCTACCACTTACTAGCTGTACTGCCTCGGGAAGGAATCTTTCTCTCCGAATCCATTTCTTCATCTGTGAAATGGAGAAGAAGTACTTAACTTACAGGGTTATTGTTAAGTTTGGACCCTACCTTGCTCAGTGCTAGGTGTATAATAGGTGGTCAACAAATACTAGCTGCCCTTTGTTATTCCAGCAAGATCCTCAAATTGTCCTCTATTTTCTATATCTGTCACATAACTACTTCAGTGGCCAAGCCCTGAAGACCAACAACTGCCTCCTGCATTTTTTTAAAACTTGCTTTAATTGCAAAGAACAGAATCTGGCCACAGAAAAGGAACATTCCCTGCCTTTCCATTGATTCCTAGGTTTAGAGAGCAAAAGCAATTATGGAGTCCATTTACAGTATCCTGAGGTGCAACCAAGTCATGGCTCCCCTAGCTGAGGGAAAGAGATATTAGGAGAAAATAAACAGATATTTGTCTTTCCCAATGGTCACACAACTTTGCTGTGTGACTAAATGCCATGTGACCTTGAGCCAAAGTGGCAGGAGGATGGCTCGGTGCTGTCTTTTGCAAAGCCCTCTGATCTGCTTCAGGCCCTACATCTGCCTCCGTCGGTGCCGGTCTGCTATCTGGCAGACGCTGCAAGGCTCACAGATACACTGGGACCGAATGATCTAGATCCTCTGAGGAAATTCTTCACAGCCAGGTCACTCACTGAAGAGGCAAGAGCAAGTTTCTGTCAGCAGGTTCCCTGGGATGACTGGACCCAAACTGACAGTCTCTTCCCTCAGAGAAGGGGCTGCTTGGCTCAGTGGCCCAGGAATGAGGACCTGAGGTTCTAATCCCAGCTCTTACTCTTAACTTGCTCTGTGATTTGGGCCACGTCACTTGCCCTCTCTAAGCCTCAGTTTTCCTATTCACACAAGAGGGCAGGCCAGATGATTTCTATGGTCCTTTCCAGCTCTGACACGCTGTGTCTTGGGTTGAGCCTCCGGGGAACAAATCTTAGTCTGAGATTCATTTATCCTTTCCAGACCCCTTAGCAGGAAAAGAAAAAAGAAAACAGTCACATATTTGAATGTGGGTCACAAAAGCAATGCCCTCCACCCCAGTCTGTAAGGAATGAGGAGCAAAATGCCGCGTGTATGATTTTCACAAGAACAATGAAGAGTGTCAAAAACCCTTTCCCTTTTGTGGACGGAGCACAGCCCCGTGCTTGCTGAGAGCTCCTGGTAGGCCTGTCCCCCCACTGGATCACGTCTCCTCTTAAGGCACTGGGCAGTGTCTGTGCTGTGACTTTAGGCAGCTGGGCGAGTGCAGATGAATGAAAGGCGCCGAAACAGCAAAGGCCAATTTGCAGAGAGGATGCCAGGCTTCTCCTGGGACTCAAAGAGCAAACACAGACTCTTGAGGCTTGCCTTGGGACATCACCAATAGCTCCAGAAGCCGGTGGTGACCATACAAGGCTGAACCCATGGTGAAAGGACTGTCGCAAACCTAATTTTTAATTGCAGCCCTGCAAAGGGTGAGGTTGGCTCCTGGGACTCAGTGACTCCCTAACAGCCTCGCGGTGTCCTCTGCCCTCATGTTCCACAGTACCATAATCTTACAGAAAAGAGGCAAATTGTTTCAAACTGTACCTGTACAAAGACGCCACCACCCTGAGTGGGGAATCTATTTATAATTTATATATATATATATGCATATTTATATATTTTTAAAAAGTCTTCCAGAAAGAACAATTGAAAGCTATTGGGAGAATAAAAACAAAAAGACAATGTAAAACTTTCCCAGCTATCACTCAACTAGGAGTCTCTGTTCCTGGGGTTTAAAACTCTGAGTTAAAAGCGCCAATATAAATCCTTTGAAGTAATACACCTGACCAATGTAAATGCATCAAGGTGGCATGCTGGCCGTCAAGGTAGCCCTTCCCACTGGCGCACATTCCTGAGTTCACAAAGGTGCTGTGGAGAAACAATAGAGCAGAAGTGCTGGCTAACAGGCGCGAGGTGTGCAATCCAGAATTCACCAAAGGCCTGGGTGGAGGGGGCCCTCCCGGCCTGGCCTTGCTCAGAAGTTCTGTTGCCGCCTCTTCTTAGCCTCAATGGCATCCAGGATTGGCTGCCGCTTGGACTGGTACTTCTGCCGGATCTCTTCAATCTCCTGCTCCATCATGGGGTCTAGGGCCAAGAGCCTCTTCTGAAGGTCCTCCACTGTCCAACTCTTAAGCTGGAAGAGAAGTGGAAAGTACAGTCACGACAAAGCCTAGGCTGGGGCAGGACAGCAGAGAAGCCTGGGCTCCCCGGGCACCCAGAGGGAAGGGAGACGGAGGAGGGCAGTGGGGTCGGACCACACGTTGGGTGGTGGTGGTTGGAAAGTGACAATTCCTTCCAATGAACAGCACACTTCAAACCTCTTCCACACAATTTATTCCTGGAAGAGTTCAAAGTGCTAACCTCTTTGATTTAATGAGCTCTGACCAGGACCTTAATGAATAACACTTTCACCTCCCGTATCTTTTAAATTAATTAAACATAGATTCATTGTTAGGACATCAGAATAACAGTAACTTGCTACATATAAAATAGTGGTTGCCTCCCAGTTCTTGTCCTACCCATAAAGGCAAGTGTCTGGACAGTGGCCATCTCTCTTTTGGGACACCACAGCACGGAGGACGGATGCTGACTGAGGATCAGATGCTCTCCCCCTCCCCTGCCTTGCCACACCCTCACTGCCTTGGCACTGTCATACTAATCACCACTAACACTTACTGGGGGCTCATTATATGCCAGGTACCACTCTAAGCTCTTGGGAAAACAGACACAGCCCGTGGTATGGGTGAGGGGAAGGGGTGGGTAGTTGGAGAAACCCTGAAACTTCTGAGATTAAGCTTCCATCATCCAGAGGAAAAAAGGACTTGATATATAAAGTAATACTCATGGCCAGCACTTATATGGTGCTTTCTATGTGCCAGACACTAAGTGCTCTACATACATTGATTCATTTAATCTTCGCAACAACCCTATGATATGAATACATTATCTCCACGTTACCGATGAACAGGACAAGGAAGAGGGTGGCTAAGTAACCTGTCCCTGGTCTCCTGACTAGTAGTAACTGGCAGAGTCAAGACGTGAACCCAGGCAGTGTGGCTCCCTGCTCTTAACCAGTATTACAGAAGAGCAGACTAGCAAAGTTTTAGAACTAACTCGACTTATGTTTAAAACATGGCTCTGCCTGTTAAATGTCATGAGATTCTGGCGAGTTATTTTACCAGTCTTCCAGGCCTTCCTCATCTACAGAAAGGGGACAGCAATGCCTCATCACGTGTACTATAAGAATCAAATGAGATCGTGGCTGTAGGGATGTCAGCACAGTGCCTGGTGCACTGTGTGCTTAAAGACGGCAGTGGGTGTCACAACCTCTCTCTCTTCACTAAAGCCCAGGAGTGCACCCGTGACCAGCCTGTGTCTGTAGCTGTGGGCGAGTGGCTCTGCTGCCGTATGTGTAGATTCCAGGCACGGCCGGTCTTGGCTGGCGGGGTGGGAATGAATGCCGACATTTTCCACATCGGGTGGCAAAACTTCAACCAGCCTAATAGGCACAGTGTTTCAAGAACTCAAAGGCTCCCCCAAGTCTTACAAGTGGTCTGTTGTGCCCATATTTAGAAAATCACCATCCTCAGCCCCTCCCGAGGCCTCAACAGGAAAGTGGTACAGAAGGTGGGTGAAGGAGCCTCTTTCTGTTCACCCCTCCTTTTGGGGGAGGGGTGTGAACGAGTGTGCAGTGTTACAGTGGCCTCCCAAGAAATGGTTTAGTGACCTGTCACCACAGGAATTTTCCTTGGCCTGCTTCCGGGAGGCTGTCTGAGAAGTGAAAAAGCCTAATAGTTCAAGATGAAAGGTTCTTTGTAATGTGAGAATGGAAAGATTTGAGGATATGGGGAAATGCTGGAAAGTTGCACTGAAAAAAATGCACCTTTCTTGCCAGGCTGTGGTTTTATACCACCTTACGAGGTTGGTGTTCTTGGCTCAGGGACACCCCAAAGAGCACTCAGCTTGCCTAGTCTTTAGCATTTCAATTCCTTTTCCAAAGAGAGAACTAAACCTAATGCTGAACGTTACTGGTAGGTAAGAACTTAATCTTTGGGATCTCGGACCCTAAATCTGTACTGGCTGTGTAACCTTGAACAGTAAGACTTTCCGCTTGAGCTTCAGTTTTCTCCTCTGGAAAACAGACAGTAGTAGTTCCTCCACCCCTGGGCTGTAATGAGGCTTAGACAAAATAACAAGTGTGATGTTCTGAGCTCAGAACTTTCTTTAGTACGTGTTGGGCAGATTCATGTAAGCATTCCATAAATGGTAGTTATCACTGTTGCTATTGTTGCTGTTATTCATGTCATTGTTATTGTTGATACTACTGATAACTCCCTAATCTTTCATAAACAAGCGCTCCTATAACCTCTGATTCGAGCTAGAATCAAACAAGTGGAAAAAAAAATATTCCACTCTATTTTATGCTAGCAACAATGCCCAAAGGCCTGGCGCTTCCCACAAAGCCCATTCACTTATTTACGGATTAACAAAATATTTTTTATCCATTTATTTACCAAATATTCATTGAGCACCTACTATGGGTCAGGCACTGTTTGAGACACAAAAGATACTTTGTTGAAAAAAACAAAGAAACAAAAATCATTGCCCTTGAGAAGCTTACATTTTAGTGAGGCCGGGAAAATAACAATAAACACAGTAAATTAGTAAATTATTCTTACCTTAGAAGGTGCTTTGGGGGGAAAAAGGAAAACGAGAGTGAAGGAAGGGGAGCTGGGAATTGAGGGCAGACTTGCTTTCCAAGTTCACCCATTAGGATGAAAAGTAAACTAAGTTACTGGAACTGCACAGATTTCTAACTCGTCTGCGACTTTGGGCAAGGCCCTGCTCCCTACCTAGACCTCAATTTCCCATGTGTAAGAGAGGGCTGACCGGATGATCTTAGAGGGTTTTCCAGACTCGATGTTTCTGGTGTAGGATCTGTGGATCGCTGCGTCAGAATCACTCGTTACCAACACAGGCTCCTGAGCCCCAACCAGCAGATACTCAGACTCCCTGGAGGCGAGGCATAGGACTGCGCATCTTAAAGAAGCTATTTGGGTATTTCTTATAAATCTCAAATTTGATAAGTATGATCCTACATCTTCCTTCTTATTTATCTGTTAGTTTAAAATTCTCACAAAGTACTGCTGTCTGTCTCTGGTCCAAGGCTTCTTACAGGGTTCCAATTTCTAGGCAGCTTTGTTGTCCTTGATTCTGATCCGGGGGCAACAAGCGCCCTTGCTTATCTCAGCCACCTTCAGACTAATTTACAGTTTCCATGGGGCCTTTGGGGCTTAAGTTACAGCTGACCTATTAGAACACAGCCAGCAAGGCACTGCTGATGACTCGGTCACACCATCCAGATATGGATTTTTGTGAAAAACAAGCTCAGATGATGGTTTTATGGCGCCAAGTACAGCATTTCACCTTCCTTGTCCTTGGTAGCATAAATAAATTTCAAATGGTATCTTGCAGTAAACTGTGGTTCTACAGTTTTGCAACAGCCAGCATCCCAAAGAAGCAAATTCTCAAACCAGCCATGTAGGTAGCTTGAGCTATGTTCACCAGGTAAGGGAGATATCACCATTTAGTATCTCATCTATCCCCTAGGATTAAACGTCCTCTCTACTGAGTCCCGCATTTACATCTCTAGCCCAGAATTCTCTGAACTCCAGATTCATACATCCAAGTCAGATGCTACTGGATCATCTCAGCCCCTGATTATCTCATGGAAATCTGCAACTTAACACAGCCAAAGCAGAACTCTTGAGCCCCATCTCTCCCTCAGCCCCAAACGTCTTCCCATCTCAGGAATGGTGCCACCATGCTCCCAGGTGCTCAGAATCACCCCAACCCTTCTTCCCTTTCCTTCACCAGCAGTCCTATCGATCTCATCTCTGAAATACTGGCATGACTCAAACCCAACCACTTTTTTCCATCTCCATCCACTTCATTCCAGGCCACCATCATCTCACAGCAACAAACATAATTAAAAATACAGAAACGAATCCAAATCACATCACCCTTATGTTTCCAACTGCACTTAGAATCAAATCCAACTCACCAGGGACTACAAGGGCAGCCCCCACCTCCCTTCCAACTTCATGGCCTACAGCTCTCCACTGTGCTCGGGACCCTCCAGCCACACTTTATTTCAGATCCTCAAACAAGCCACACGTTTTCCGGCCTCAGTGATCTAAGGAGTTAATGATCCTTTTGCCTTCATGGCTCAGGCCCAGTTCTTCCTTATCCTTCAGGTGTTAACTCAGATGACGACTCCTTGGAGGATGCAAGCCTTTTCTGACCATCTTATCCAAAAAGGTTTCCTCTTCTCCATTACTATCTCAGTCTCTTATTTATTTCCTTCCCAAAAAATCATGCACCTTGTAATTATTTTTACCTATTTTCTTTTACTTGTCATCTTTCTTACTAGAAAATAAATTCTATAAGGGAATGACCTGGTTTACTCTGCTAATCACAATACCGGTTGAAGAAATGAATAAATTACCCTTCACTTCTAGTCAAGTAATAATGAAAGCCACTGAAACCAACGGAGCGAGCTTACGTTGAGCACCACCATGTTCAACAGGGTAGGTGCTGAGAAGACCCAGTATAGAATAAGAAGTGAGTTCTGCCCTCAAGGGACCTTTAAACTTAAAGGCGATTCCCATCAACATTCTTTTGAAATCAGAAGGAACCTCTGCTCACCTAATGAAAATGTCTTTTTTTTTTTTGGAGACAGGGTCTCACTCTGTCGCTTGGGTTAGAGTGCAGTGGCATCATCATAGCTCACTGCAACTTCAAGCTCCTGGGCTCAGGTGATCCTCCTATCTCAGCCTTTCAAGTAGCTGGGATTACAGGCACGCACCACCACGCTCAGCTAGTTTTTTTGTAGAGATGGGATCTTGCTCTTGCTCAGGCTGGTCTCAAGCAATCCTCCCACCTCAGCTTCCCAAAGTACTAGGATAACAAGCGTGAGCCACCGCGCCAGGCTTGTTTCATGCTGACTGATAAGACGTAGGTCTCCAGTCCTGGGTCGGTCATCTCTAAAGGCACGCCCATTTTAATATTTTATTCGACAAAAAAGAACTTCCACTATAAGAAATTGCACTTTGGAAAGAATGAGATCATCGG